GCACCTGCCCTGGGGCAGGAAAAGGAAAGGGGCCAGGAGACTGCAATCCCCTTTGAGTTTCTGTCTCAGGGACTTGGGAAGAGCTTTTCCCAGATGAACCAGGATGTTGTTGGAGCAGCCCAGGCCTCAGGCCCCTAAGGCCCTGACACCCAGGGGAAGGCAAATGGCTATTTGCCAGCTTTTCAACTGAAGACCCTCTTTGATTAACCTTCTCTAAAACCCCAAATAAGGCTAGACACCACTTGATTCAGTCTTGGGTCCCTGGCATCTTCCCTTATCAGTATTTCTCTCGGAAGTCACTAAAACACTGGGTCGTTATTTGATGGCTATCCACCCTGCCTGCCAGGCTGCAGCCCGCCTCCAGGGGGGCCTGTGTCTGTGCTGGCTCCCCTGCCTCCAGGGCACTCTGCTGGTATATCACACGCAGGATGATGGAGATGGGCCCATGCTGGCAGCCTGCCCCTGCCCAAAGCCTGGAAGGAACAAAAACTGCATGTTTAAAATTCCACCATGAGGGAGGGGAACCAAACAGAATACAAACAGGATCATGCCTGAAGCTGCCAGGCATTTTAGTTCCTAGAAGCCAATAAATACCTTTGAGCACATAAAGTAGTTCATGTTACCTTTTCTGACACTTGACTGAGTTCTGACTGTCATCTGAAATATGAGAAGGCTAGAGGTAGCCTGGCTCCTTGGCAAGGTCCACTCAGCTCCTTCCCCACCTCCATCCCTGAGTGGGTTTAATAACACACCTACAGCCTCCTCCAACGGATGGAGGCAGCAGAGCCTGGCACTTGCTGAGCCTCCTGGTCTCTCCCCTGCATCCTGGGCCAGGCCCAGTGTTCTGGCCCCTCTGGGACTGTAGTCCTGCCTCAAGCCCCAGCCTCAGTCGTGGAGTGGGCCCCAGTAGCCCTGTGGCTGACAGCCTTGCTCACACAGACTCACAGGAAGCGCGACCCCCAGTATACCCACCCTGACCTGTCCTGAGCCTCACTCTGCCCTCCACTCAGAGCCTCACCATCCCGGTGCTCATGGGGTAGCCAGTGGTGCTGGGCATCACCATGCTCGAAGTACAGGTCCCACTGCCGGCACTGTTCCTCACGGAAGTCGGCCAGTGTGTCAGGACAATCCTGGGAGTTGCAGAGCTGAAAATCGTAGCCAAGACCTGAACAGGTGCGGCCCCCGTTGGCTGGGCTGGAAGAGAAAGCAAAGGACTTGCAGCTCGGTGCCACCAGGAAGGTGCCAGCACTTAGCGCTTCACTTGTAGAATTTGGGGGATCCTTGAGTCTCAGGTGTAGGATTAGCTCTGCTGACTGAAGGGACCCAGGCCTGCCCTGTCCTGTCCTGGATACAACACCAAGGCAGCACCCCAGCCTCCCAGGCCCCAGAGCATCAGGTATAGAGGGCTGGTAATCCTCCCTTGGGGCCCTGTGGTGTCTCCTCTACATGGAGGTCTGTGCCTGTGCTTGACACAGGGTGGGCACTCAAAGAGCAGTTCTGAAATAGCAGAATCTCACTGCACAGGTGGGGCACACAGTGAACACTCCACCCACCTTCCTCCACCTCAGCAAATTTGGGCTGTTTCTGTAATTCCCTCACTTCACTGAGAACAATCCACAGCAAACTAGCCCCACAGAAAAGGCACTGGCTCTGGTTGGCAGGTGCATCTGTAAGGTGAAGAATGGGCTGTGGCAGGCCAGAAACTGGGAGGAACTGGGGGGCAATAGTGCTGCCATATGCCAATTGTGGTAGAGCCAGACAGAACCCAAGGCCTCACCTGAGACTTGAGCAAGTCATGCTCTGCGTGCAACAAGAAGGGTGAATGCCATGCAGCACAGTAAAGTGGAAGAGAAAGAGCTGCCTCTGTGAGGCCCCTCCCATGGCACTGTGTTCTCCAGGGGGTCAGTGGGAATAATGGTCAGAAAAACTTGTGGAAGAACCAAGAGGCCTCAGTGTTTGATAGGAGATTGAAAGAAAGGATAACTCTGAGATTGATGCCAGGGTCACTGATAATATCATAGACCAATGACAATACCAACAAGGTTGTCACCAGGAGAAGGGGGTACAGGCCTGGTTGCAGGTGCGGAGAGCCAGGGCAGCAGCAGCAACCGTGGGGGAAGCAGGAAGGGTCTGCTTTTGCTGGAATCCCTGGCCAGCCCAGGCAGGAGGCATAGTGATTGGAACTGAAATCCATATTGACTCCAAAACAGAGTGAGCTAGAGAATTTGGGGAGGGGAAAAGCAAGTGAAATACTAGAGACTGGATTGTTTTCAGTTTTACAATCACAAGGGTATGAGCAGCGAAAACAGTGGGAACTCAATCCTGCAAGCAGGGTCTAGCTAGAGCTGCATGGGAGTCTTCACACTAGTCCCAGTGGAATGCAGGCATTGGGCAGGGCTTGGCTATTCTCTGGGACTGATGGCTTTCAGGAACAGATGGGCTCACAGGCTGTCCTGACAGCTTTGCTCCCATCACCTGCCCTTGTCCCCTGCTGCCATCAAGGAGTCTGGGCAAGCCCGAGGGGTAAATTCCTAGAGTGTGCGAGTGAAAAAGGTCAGAACGTGTACCTCTTCTCCACTGAACCAGGCCAGGGGGTGAGTCTGCTGGAGCCCGAGAACCCAGCATCAGGCAGGAGGAATCAGGGCCTGGATGCCCATGGAGGGTGGGGAAGTCAGGCCGAACCTGCTCTCTCAACTGCACCCTGGGCCCAAGTTACTCCATCAGCATGTGAAGGGGGCAGCTGAGACATTTATTGAGTGCTTGCTGCATGCCAGGCATGCACCACAAGCCGGGAACCCCACAGTCCTTACCCAGAATCCCATGGCCTCTGCAGTTCTAACTTCCTGTCTGGTCAATCTCATCCTGAGGCAAGCATCCCAGGGTTGCATGAGGGGAGTCAGGGGCAGGGCACTTTGGGCCCCTTCCTGCCTCTGCTCCTAGTCAGGACGGAAGCCTAGAGCCCCGGGCAGGAGGTAGTCAGAAATTAGAGGAGAAGGCCCCAGCAGGAGCTGGGGTGGCCAGCCCGAGGCACAAGTGACCTTGAGGGACAGGCTCTCCCACTGCTGCAGCCCAGGACACCAGTCCCTTCTTGGCCAACATGGACTTGATCCCTCTACCCAGAGCTATTACTGCTGAGCCCCTTTGGTTCCCTGGTGGCTAGTTCAGGGCATGGCCAGAGAAAATGCAGCAGCCTGGCCGAGCAGAACAGGGAAGCTGCTGCAAAGGCAGAGCCTAGCAGTCTAGATGGGCACCAGAGACCTGGGTGGGCTTAAATTTTGGGGCACAGATTCCTCTGAGAAGTTGATGTGAAGCTAGAGACCTGCTCCCCCAGAAAAATGTTCATGCACAGAAAGTCATAATACAATTTTGGATGAGGCCATGGCAGGGTCCAAAGAAGGGTGATGAGGCTTAGGGTCTAGGCACCCTAACTCAAATATCTAGGGGTTCAGGTGGTCAGAGGAGGTGAGTGAAGATTGCTGTGGGGAGGGGGGGGCAGCCTGAGTTGCCCATTAACCTGTATTGCTATGGTGCCCAATTTGGAAGCTAGAAATCTGTTTTCTTTATGTGAAATTCCAGATTTTTAACATTTTCATGTAAATTAAAATCTTTAAAACTCTGGCCAAAGAGAGAAAGACAAAAGCCACGTGTCTCCCAGGAGCAGAGGGCTGCTTATGGGAAGGTGGAAGACCAGTGAGTTGACATCTGTGGGGAGTTTCCTGCACCCAGGTCCTGTTCACATTACTGTATGTGCACTCACAATCACTCCATGGGCAGGCTGCCTGAGGCCCAGGGGGAGGGGCCTAAGTGACCCACCCTGACTTACATGGGGCTGCAGGGGCCCGGGACCCAGGCATTCTAGCTCCACATGGCTCTCTCCATGGGCACTGCCCTGGTGGAGGCCCAGGCTAAGGGTTCAGACAGGAAGAGTGGCCTGGGCATGAATAAGTAAGTAGCTATGGGCCGAGGAGGGGGCATGCACCAGAAAGACTTTTATAAGGTGGAGTGGGTGGGGGGATGAGAGGGACGGGGAGGGGCTAGGGAGGACAGCACAGCAGGCCCCAAACCTGGGAAGCAGGAAGGGGAGCATGGTTGGCAATAGGAGTCCAGTGGGCATGGGGGCAGCCTCTCCAGGTTATCTCTTCCCTGGGTAGCTGGGTTCAGGCAGCATGTTGCTGGCCCTGCCCCTTGCCTGACTACAAACAGTTGTTCCCCCTGCTCAGGTTCCTAGCATCCTGGGGACAAAGAGAGCCCTCCTCCTTCTTATTCTTAATTCCTGTTCTCTGTTCCACCTTATGTCCTTGATACACTTGACCAAGAAGGACAGAGCAAGCCAGTGTCTTGAGGAGGGTCAAAGCCTGTGGGGGATGGATAGCAGGCCAGGAGACCAGGTTTTCAGGGCTCCAGGGCTGGCTCTGCTCCCAGCAGGCTGTGCAACCAGGGCCATGAGGCTTCCCTCTCTGAGTCTCACCTTCCTCCCAGCGAACAGGATGCCAGCCCTTGCACCCTCTCCAGAACTGGCATGCAGCAATAGGGACCGTGCAGGATAGGAAGGGGCCTCAGGAACCACAGCTGCCACCCAGGAGAGCTGGGAAATATCAGGGTCAACTTACTGTGGGTTGTCGCACTGGCGGGTCCTGAACTTAACACCTGTGCCACAGGTGCGCGAGCAGGAGCCGAATGGACTCCAGGTGCCCCAGTTGCCATCTCGTTTGAGGATGTCAGGCGTCAGCCAGATGCAGTGTCCTTTAAAGCAGTGCTGAAAAAAAGGTCATTCCCTTGACCCATGGCCTCCTGCCCTCCCTTCAACTTGCTGTGTCCGTGAGGACTGCCTAGCCCTGGAGGCAAATGGGGAGGCAGACCTACTCACCCCTAGAAGCTCTAAGCCCCTCAGGAGACCTAGTGAGATGTTGGCCCACCCAGCTTCCTCCACTATTGCCCTGCCCTCCTACCATCCTCAGCACCTTGTCTAGTCAGAGCCTGCCCTACACCATGTCCCTAGGGTGAAGCCACTGGCATGCCCACACAGGGAACACTAAAAAAATGCAAGTAGCTCATCAAGCCTGGGATTCCAGAGACATATAAGATCTACTGTTTAAATTTTTAAAAAGCCAATTTAAAGAAAATATGGAAGCAGGTCAGGTGGTATGCTGATGTGATAAAAATTTATGAATATAGTCAGGATACACTGGCAAGCAGGGAACAAAGTTCCATAACTTGAATTTGATCACACTATCCCACCTCCTCCCATGGGAGGAAGCTTACACAATCTAGGGGCCCATTTTAAGGAGAAAATTTTAAAGTTAAAAATACTAAATTAGGTATAAAATGAAATATTAAATTAGAATAAGAAAATACATCACAAAAAATTAAAAATTGAAAAACTGACTAATATCACAAACAACCAAAAGTGAGTAGAAAGAAGGAAATAATAAAGATCAGAGCAGAAGTAAATGAGATACAATCTAAGAAAAATACAAAAGATCAAAGAAACCAAGCACTCTTTGAAAAGACTAACAAGATTAACCAGACTCATCAAGAAAAAAACAGAGAGGACCCAAATAAAGAAAATCAGAAATGAAAAAAGAGAAGTGACAACTGACACCACAGAAATACAAAGGATTATAAGAAAATATATAAACAATTATACTCCAGCAAATTGGAAAATCTGGAAGAAATGGATAAATTCCTAGAAACAATCTTTTAAGACCAAATCAAGAAGAAACAGAAAATTGGTTCAGACCAATTACTGCCAATGAAATCGAATCAGTAAGTGTCCTGGACCGGATAGCTTCACAGGTAAATTTAAGTATTATAAGAAGAAATAATACCTCTCCTCAAATTATTCCAAAAAATTCAAGAGGAGAGAAGGCTCGCAAATTCATTTTATGAGACCAGTATAATGCTGATTCCAAAACCAGACAAATATATTACGAAAAAGAAAATTATAGGCGAATATCCATGATTAACAGATGCAACTATCCTCAACAAAATATTAGCACACCAAATTCAGCCATACATGAAAAAGGTCATACACCATGATCAAGTGGGATTTATTCCTGGGATGCAAGGTTAGTTCAATATCTGCAAATCAATTAACGTGTTACACCACATAAACAAAATGAAGGATAAAAAGCATGTGGTAATATTAATAGATACAGAAGAAGCATGTGACAAAATCCAGCATAATGATAAAAAATCTCAGCAAAGTGAGAATAGAGGGTATATACCTCAACATAATAAAAGAATATATATATGACAAACCCATAGCAACTGTCATAATCAATGGAAAACAGCTAAAAGCATTTTCTTAAAATCAGGAATAAGAGAAGGTTGTTTACTTTCACTGAAGTCCTACTCACAACAATCAGACAGGAAAAAGAAATTAAAGTCATCCTGATTAGAAAGGAAGAAGTAAAACTGTCATTACTTGCAGATGATGTAATTTTATATAGAGAGAACACTAAAGAATTCACAAAACAACTATTAGAAATGATAAATGAGTTCAGTAAAATAGCAGGATACAAAATTAATATTCAGAAATCGATTGCAGCCCTGGTCGGTGTGGCTGTTGGTTGGATGTTGACCCATGCACCAAAAGATTGCCAGTTTGATTCCAGGTCAGAGCACATGCCCAGGTTGTGGGCTTGATCCCTGGTAGGGGGCTTGCAGGGGGAAGCCGGTCGATGTTTGACTCTTACATTGATGTTTTACTTTTCTTTTCTTTTTTTTTTTTTTTTTTTTTTTTTTTGAACTACTGTGCTCTTTTATTCCAACTTCCTTTCCCAATCATATGCATTGATACTATATTTCGTAAGAGTATCTGAGAATATTGGCAATCTAGAAAGAAACTGTTCATATATAATTCTTGGTGTATTTAAATACAAAACAGGAAGCTTATGTAAATTTTCTAAGTAGATTCCTTTTTCCTTTTTCATAACCTCATAGTAATTTTTGGCTTCTTTTTGAAATCTAGACAAGCTCCTATAATATATATATATAGAGAACCAGTAGGTCGTTGTTATCTTATTGCCATTGAATTATTATTATTATTATTAAAGAATGTAGTGTATTAAACCAATTTTAATTGGATTTCTTTTTGCATAATGTAATGTAATTTCCAAATAATCTTTTATTTCTTTGGATAAACAAGAGTCTCTATAGAGCTGGTATCTGTGGCTGGGTGGTAAGACTTTTTACACAACTTCTAAAGCCAAACTACTGGAAATCTTAGTTCTTTCCTTGTACTTTTTTTCTCAGTTTTTTTTAAAATTAAATCTTTATTGTTCAGATTATTACAGTTGTTCCTCTTCCCCCCACCCCCCCATAGCTCCTCTCCACCTGGTTCCCACCCGACCCTCAGCCCTTACCACCCCCTTTCCTGTCCTCATCCATAGGTGTACGATTTTTGTCCAGTCTCTTCCCGCACCCCCCACACCCCTTTCCTCCCCCGAGAATAGTCAGTCCACTCCCTTTCTATGCCCCTGATTCTATTATATTCACCAGTTTATTCTGTTCATCAGATTATTAATTCACTTGATTTTTAGATTCACTTGTTGATAGATGTGTATTTGTTGTTCATAATTTGTATCTTTACCTTTTTCTTCTTCTTCCT